AGTGACAATTCCGTTGTATTCAGTGGTGTTGTCCACACCTGCATCACTTATACTGTTATCAAGTCATTGTCTCCCTGATGCACAATCTCCCATCCAGATTAAATTCTTGTTGTTGCTTGGCACTCTACTCTACTCTACCAGGGTAGAAGTCCATCAGTATCAACTGGCCACCTGACGCACCTGCCACAAAATTACCTGTGTAACAGGATTCTGATACAGATGCATGTTAAATAAAGGCTATCATGAAGAAGTTGTCACACAAAAACAGCATTGGTTTTTAAGCCGTGCTAATCAAATTGGGCCAGACTTGACTAATTACTAATTGGTTCCATTAAAATTATTATGCTACATTTAAATGTTTTTGGAATGATACTTGTATACTTTATTGGGAGAGAGTACACCATTACAGGTTTAATTGTACATGTACCAAAGTGTTCTGGATTGTACAGAACTTCACCATACTTTACAGTGAACTATATAAGTGGAAGGTGGTAGAAAAAGTGTAGATTGGCTTGAAGTCCTGAAAGGTTCCTTTTTCCACTTTTTTCAGTCTTTCTCTCTTCCTCTTATTCCCTCTTTTCATCTATCTCTGTCTCTTACTCTCCTCTCTCTCTGACTGTTTTACCCTAGCCTGTGTTATGAGGTAATGATCTGTGGTTGTCATGGTGAATCACAATGCCTTGTGCTGATTGGAGAACAGCCTTCCTGTCTAGGAATTCTGGGTAATTAAAACAAGCAAAGAAAATCATAAAAATCAACTTAAAAACTTATATTTGCTCTATTATTGGTATGTTATTTAATTGCTTCCCTTGGTCATTAACTTGCTGTTGATTACATTAATGGAGCAAAAGTTCATTTTTACAGTGTGCCCCATAAGTCCAGTCTTATAAGGAAATATAATTGTATCACCTTCTTGGTGTAGGTAGAACAAGATGCAGTGGCAAATATGGAGAACTCCACTCAGCCAGAACAGAAATGTTCATTTTATGTTGTGTTCCACAACCATCTGTTAACAATTAATGATCTTGAAAAAAAATTCCATGTTATTCATGGCCAAATCAGACATGCACAAGACCTTCAGCATCCTATGATCATATGCCAACAATCTGAAAGATATCCATTTGTATATTTATTTTTGCAGTTGATTTTGTAATCAATGTAAATGCAATGAATGATATCTATGAGCCTGGATTCCTCTGACACACTGTATCATTAAACTGCTAAGATGTGGTGACATTTTCAAGTTTAATTTTGAGTTGGAAAAGCCTGTGAAGGAATTTGTTAGCAGAAAAATGACTTTAAAGACTAATTAAGACTTACATGTAATCATAATGATAAACATGATCGTGTATTAAGTTGCCCAGAATTCCTATACCGCAACACCGCCCACAGAGTAATGCATGTTAAGGATCTGTTTGCCTGCCAAGAACAAAATACACAACTACATCACAACTTACCTACACACAGACACAAATTCTTCCATATTAATACAAGCACACATGCATGCAAACACACACTCACGCACACACACACAGCACACAGACACACACACACACACACACACACACACACACACACACACACACACACACACACACACACACACACACACACACACACACACACAACTTTGGACATCAGTCTGGGTTTTACTTTGTGAGTTGCATGGACACTTGGTGTTTATGTGTATATAAGGAGCACATAGAAATATATCCTGTTTAAAGACCTCAGAATGACTATTTAAGTTCAAACTAGGGGGTTCCAATACTTATGCCTATGGGGGCGTATATATTAAGTATTGACACTCCATGTTTCAACTTCAGACACTTCATGTTTCAAGTATGATTCTTCTAAAACTCTGGCAGAATCTTGAGCTTGTTTTAATTTTTGACACAATCAGTTTGAAGAATATATACAAATCTATTGCAGCTTCTTTTTAACAAACAGATATTAACAGGACTGTTTCAAATGAAGGCTGTAAAGATTTATGGCCATATTTGATAGAACTGCTCTAAACTTTGTCCTTAACTTTTAGCAAGGAATTGAGGCAAGTGTTACTCCTTTTGATCTTTACATACCTACATAATAAAATGTAATTTTTGTTTTCAAAGCTTGTCAAACCATTCATGTTGTGGAAGCATTGAAGTTTGTACCACTTGTCCAACAGTGCTAAGCAAAGTAAAGGACAAAGTGCATTGCAGTTGAATTGAATCTGTGCCTTAGTTAGAGAATGTGGAGAAAACATTTTTAGTTGTTGAAGTGACAATGGGGAAATTGATGGAATGAAATGAAAAAATGAATCAAGTGGTATGTTATCCCAAAAGCTGAAATGCCTTTATGAAAAGAGTGCCAGTTAAGCTCAAATGTATGAACTTTAAGTGTTTTGAACTTAAAGTTCAAAAACAGCCTTCATTTTGATCAATATTTTCTGGTAATTTTTTGGTGAAGTTCTCAAGAGTGGTTCCCAGAAATACTCAAGTATTTAAATGGAGTTCAGACAAGGGGTGTACTTAAACAGCCAAATCTTTCAAAATCAGTGTTTCTGTTCCAAGAATACAATCCTGTGTATGTTTCAGACTCACCCTGTCTCTGTTTGCACCCATAGTTTGGCTCATTGTGGACCCAGCTGCTTGTTTCTCCTCAGAACCAACTGATTCAAGATCTGTAAAGGGGACTGAACAAGCACACTATCTCCTGTGCAAATCAATTCAGCTCTCTCTTCTTTGTTGGAATGCAATTTGTTACCAAATTACCATACCTCAGTTTACTTTACAATAACTGCCTAACTGGTGAAAATATATTTATAGGGCCTTAAGAATATGGAACTCCATTGACTGCAATTGTGACCCCTGCAGTGATTTTTAAAGCAAATGGTGTGATTGTGGCATCAGCCCATATTCTGTTTCTGCACAGAACAGACCAATGCCAGGAGACACTGGGTGACTGGAACACACAGGATTCATGCAATAAGCATGCGCTTCAGTCAGTATCTAAGAAATTCTCCCTCTCTTTTTCCTTTCTTTCTGTGTCTCTGTAACAGGTGAAGACTCGGTAGACACCAGTGGAGAATTTCCTCGGGAATGCACCTTCAGACTGTCTCCGCTGGTTAAACGTCGGGACATCCCAACTACATAACTGCACAAACACGTCAGACATATGACTTGATACACAAATATTTATTGATGTGTATGGACCAATGTACAAAAAAACAAAACATACCCAGCAGCACACAAACACACAGACACGTCTATGAGATAGATCTGACATTCATGTACAGATACACTTACAAAACATACATAGACAGGGCAATCATCTCACCCAGACAAACTGAGCTCCATTTGAGTGGAGTCTAGGGTGTATATTCATGGTGTACAGTACTTGAAGAAGGAGAGAGGGAGAGGAATGGAGAGGGAGTATAAAAGACAAATAAGGGTACTGATGAAAGAGTAATTGAAAATAATATATTACTTCTTTTGGTCTATCATATGTTGTGAAGAGTTAGCTTCTGTTTCTGTAAAAGAAAAAATGGAAAAAAACCAATAAGAACTGACACGAAAGCGTAGTTTAGAATGACTGAGAAAAAGAAGCTATTAACTGTAAATAATTTAGTTTCAGAAAATTAAAGTTGAAAAAAACAATTAAAAAATGCAAAAATAATAATTTACACAAAAATATGAAAAAAACAATGAGATGTTATTATTAACTATTATTATCAAGGGATTATTGCATTTAAAAATGGAAAGGGGTTTAAAACAATAACATATTTTAACTTAGCTTTTGTTGATATATGGGAGGGAGGGGAGGGAATTTTGGGTCGAGGTTTAATATTTGAAGTATTTTTTATTTATTAATTAATTTATTAATTCCTTTTTGGTGAGGGGATAGACTGCTGAGGAAAAAGAGTTGGGGACAACATTTTGATTTAGAATTTTTTTAGAGAAATCAATTTTGTGGGTCTGTATATCTCACACTTTGTATCTGCATAATTATAATTATAAATTGATAATTACAATGGTTATCATAATTTATTTCTTATTTATTGCTTCTTCTTTTTGATCAAATCTCTCTTTTTAAGTTAAAATAAAAACAAGTAATAAATAAGATGTAGTAATGAAATTTCATTTTATAGTGATAGTGGTCTATGTATGTGTATGAATGTATGATGGTGTGCATCGTGTGTGGCTAAGTATATTTGTCTATGTGTGCGTGTTTGTGTTAGAGAGTTAGACAGAAAGACAGAGAGACAAGTAGTGGCGAGAATTGTGTTTTTCTCATCCTCACACAAAGTGTGTAACTCAAGACAGAGCTCCAACTGTATCTGCAAAAAAAGCGTTGTCAGAAAAAGTAATTCCTCGGATGTCCAGTGGAGGGCGACAAAGAAGCAGGCTACACTGTGCATAGTGAGACCCTACCTCTATTTCAAGTAAATGAATGGTATTTAAGCAAATATTAATCTTCTCTGTATCACTGTTGTCTGAGGTTTGGTATGTGCACAGGTACGTGTTTATAAGAGAATGAGTGTAGTGTTTACAGATATTCCAACATGCTTTATCTGATCCTAATCAGGCCAGCAAGCAAAGGTCAGTTTACATGGAGGTTGCAGAGTTCTACATTCATCTGGGTTATCATTGAGCTTCACTAATAATAAGCTGTGTTGTGCTGTTCATGTATTACTCATACACATAGTATGGTGCATGAATATTTACTCCATTTGGAAAGGAAAATACAAACTCAGCTGAATGTCTGTTTAAAGAAGGTAGAAAAAGAACATGCAAGGAGTAAAAAGAGGTATCACAAATTATTGAATTAGCAGCGACTTAAAAAACACTGCAAGTCCCCATTACACATGTTAGTTTTTGTAAATATAAATCTAATCAATGCAGCCCAATGCTACACAAGCAGAACCAGAAAATCGAAGAAAATAAAAGAGCAGGCATTATTGCCTCACAGGTGGTGTTAAGTAGCACTTCACAGAAAAAAACACGTAAGCTGTAAGGGGCAGCAGTGTAGCATAGTGGTTAAGGAGCAGGACTTGTAACCGAGAGGTTGCCGGTTTGATTCCCCACTGCTGTACCTTTGGGCAAGCTACTTAACCCACAATTGCCTCAGTAAATATCAAGCTGTATAAATGGGTAACATGTGTAAAAAAAAAAAAAAAAAAACTGTAACCAATGTAAGTCGTTCTGGATAAGAGCATCTGCTAAATTACATTAATGTAATATTAAAAAGATATCTGGGTCTTAGTTTGGATGGTCTGTGAGGGTCAGCCATGCAGATCGGGCACAACAGGACGTGGAGTGGACCACTGAACGACAGATTTTATTCAAACATCAGTCTGCCCATCACGGTGACTTGGCACAGGTAAGATGGCAGTACCAAGCTAGCACTGACAGCACTCGGGGTCCTATTCCCATGTAGGCGCGAAGAGAATTAGAAAAAAAATGTGATGGGGAAGACCATAACCAACAGGGAGAGCCGATGCTGTTATCTGGCCAACGTAAAGAGGGAATTTTGATATGCTTACTATTTTGTATTTGCTCTTGGTAATCTTGGAACGTCTGGTATTCCCCGCGCTTGGTTATTTCTGATCCTTCCCATTACTTCTCCAATCACTTCTATGGAATATCATAATGTTATAATATTAGATTGATTAGCCTATAAAAAGAATATTATTCGTGATTCCTCTTGGTATTGCTAAGCAGAGCGTGTAAGAAAATTGCTAAAGAAGTGACTCTTCTTTCAGTAAAGCATGACCTCAATCATCGCCTGCAAAATTAAATGTTTCTACTTTTGTAAACCCACTTCAAAAACAACCTTATATACGTAATCGTTTCAACATGATCCGTTGCTTTCGAATCTATGGTTAGAGATTTCTGTTGGGCTTTGATAAGATAATTAGAGGCTCTGGTGGGAACACACGTCCCTCTATCATTTTTGACCCGTCCGTTTCAATTTACGCTTCATATCCCTCACTGCTTTTTTACACACTCCCCTAGACGGATACTCACCCTGTGCACTGTCTGGCGCACAACCTCGCTGACCTCGTCCTTTGTACCTTTCCACATGGTTCATATGTCACATTGCCCAATCAGCCTTTCCCTATCTCTTCCCCCAAGGCAATTTAAAAGTGAAAACTCACTTAGCTAAGCACACTGGCGAGAGTCCCGTCTCCTCAGCATTTAATAGTAGCACATAATGTACAAAATAGTTCCACATCATCAGGTGGAACTGTTGTTCCAGATAATTACAAAACTGGACAAGTGAAACCTCAGCGCAGTTGTTTGCCTGCCAGAGATGTGGAAAGAAAAAGGGAGAGGACAGGCTTGCCATAATGTATTAATACCGTTAAATGATATACTGGGGTCATTTGCGAAATGTAGAAGACTACACTGATCTATATCACACAGTGAACTGAACGAGGGAAGAGGCGGGGAACAACACTCCGGAAAAGAGACTTTTCTCTCTTTCAACAAGTGCTCCCGTACGCTTTAAAACGTCACCCCACTATCCTCCCTCCCCCTCTCTATGTCTATTACCCCTCCCTCTCGGATCATTTTCTGTCCTCTCGTCAGATACAACAGACGAGCTGACCGACGCCTATGCTAGGAGGAGAACCATTCCTTTTCATCACTGGCGAAGAGAAAGAAAAAAGTTGACTGTGCTTAAAAGCTTGGATTGCCGTCCTTACCAGGGAGAAGTCTAACAGACATACGAAAACAAAGCTATAAGCTACGAATAACAGCTTCTTCTCTTAGACGCATTTTATTGTTTTTTTTTTTTCGTTTTCCTCTCCGGAAACGGTTTTGGGGAAAACATGCGGATAAGTTGCGGAGACGGAGAGGCCGGACCGTAAACTCAGAACGGTCACACTGACCGGCCAACAGACCGACGGACCGGGGCACGGCGACCCCAGGGAGGCTTCAGCTAGGACTAGTCGACTACAGGACATTATCAGTGTTTCATAAATAGCTCGTGTTATCGGTATACTGTTATATTGGCTGTAGTAAAATTTTCCTAATTGTGCTTACCGCTTTACGCCTCAGACCTGGGTGGAACCTCTGATTTAAGTAAGTACCGTTACCTCTATGAATTATTGTCATCCCCGATTTATATTGTCTGAGGTTCATGGCTGTCGTGTTTTACTTGCTTGTACTACAGGGTTGTCTAAATATCTCTGACTCCCGTTTCTGTGTGTACCTTTTTGATGAAACAGTCCACCTGTCTGACCACAGTGCAGAAGTCCAAGTAAACAATATTCTAACGCCACGCAAATCACTTGTATCAGCTCACACTTAACACACGGAACTCACGCAGGGACATACAGTATGCATACATGACTGCCACACATATAACGCTACATAAAATAAGGTGAAGGACACTAATAGCAACACTGTATGTGCCGCGATCAACAGCATGCACATGCTATTTCTAACACATATATACGATACATGTAGCCCACACTATTCCCAATAGTACTGGTTAGAGATATGGTTTTTTTCGTGCAAAAGTTCAGGCAAGTGAGCCTTCAAGTACAATGTAAAGCCGACCAGTACAGTGCTACAACACCTTAGTGTTGTATTACAGAGGTGGTCCGTGTCTTAAATCCATGTTCCAACAGGTTTTTGGGTCGCCCTTCATGTGTTTTCTCATTCTGTTGAGTCGGGGCATCTTTGCTGATTTATCAGCGGTTTAGAACAAAAACGTAAAGATTGTCATATCACCCCGTAAACACTGACAACCCTGAACAAGGATAACATTGAGACATTGCCACATGAAAACACAAATATAGACAAAGTAAAAGAAAAAATATAAATGAGAATAATAACCAGTACGTCACATAAAAAAGAATATAATGAGGCTGAACAGCTGATATCATAATCCGGTCACCGATAGGCTGCATAATCATTTTCAGATTGGAAACAGTACATGGTTTAGATGTGTCTGTGAGTACACGATTATATAAGCATTATCATAATTTTAAGCTCTTTCACCATATTGCACAGAGAAAAGGGTGAACGTAAGCGGTAAAGAGTTCTAATGTGCGTGTGTCTGTCTCTCGTGAGTGTCAGTACAAGAACAACGTGATAAGGGAAGGTCATGCATTTGAGATCATCCTTCAGTCATCACGCAGCCCTTAAAGCCATTTATAATACAAATGCATTTCGCTGTATAACTTAACTATTACCACAGAACAGCATATTATTCACTCACACTCCACGTATGTGAAGTGAGGCACGGTTAACCGATGCCTTATTGAATGGCGTGATATACGCTACTGAATATCGAGCGCGTCCAAAGTTCCAAAGTTCGATTGAGAGATTTATTGCCAGCGGAAATTGATGCGGTATGTTGAGCTGTTGAGATAGAGTGATGCAAACCCAACCCTTCCTCTGTCAATCGTGTTTGATATGAACAACTCGTGGAACTGATATCTGCCATAATACAAACCCACTGTCGGTTTCCTCACCCAAGTTCTCCCTTACGCCCTCCCCCTTTTCTCTATTTAGGCCTAGCATATTCCGCTAGGTTTCAGGGGCCTGTGTAGCGGTGAAATAGTATGACTCGTTTAAATAGCGGTGTAAAAAAACAGTAACGTATTTGGTACTTATGGGTGATGAAGTTCATACATGCGTTTGTTGATCTATGATGCCCATACACCTAGATGTAAAAAATGACACTTTGATTTAACCTGAGAATACATATTGCTGTGCTGTAACCCATAGTGTTATCTGTGCCTTTGCATTATTCTTAAACATTTATTTTTAACCCACACTTATAGTGCTCCGGAAATAAGAATACTTAATGCACGAAAGTAAGAGCACACACGATTTTCAACGTCATATTGAGTCACAAAACATATTCCGTACGTGGTTGTATTAATCCGTCTTTGTATCATTGTCATTCATAAAAATGTTGAACAGTGGACCATTATGCTGAAACTGAAGTGGGATTGCACATGAACTCTAAAGCAATGCCAGCTGCAGAATGGTCACTTTTTATTTATGCTGTTGGCAATTACCCAATAGGGGTTGACCCCTCTATTGAGGATTAATTACCTCTCATCCTAAATCAGCCTGGAGATGAGAATGAGGAGCCAACTAGATTATGATTCATTTGGCTGACAATTAACCAGCTCTGTTTTATTGCACTATATAAATGCAATGTTTACATTGACACTGAATACACTGCTTGGTCTTTGTGTGTGTGTGTGTGTGTGTGTGTGTGTGTGTGTGTGTGTGTGTGTGTGTTTGAACAGGTTTGTTGTAGCCTGCTTCTGCACAACTTTTCAATTTGCCTTGTTTATAAAATTTCAGAATTACAGTGAGCCAATCTGACAGTGCGACTGAAGGGTGAAATGTTACGAGATAACTATAAGAACACTCAGATATTTAGAAATAAAACCAGGAATAGTAATACTTGAATTATTTCAATGACAGGATAATGTTGTGATATGCATAAACTGGTGTGAGTTAGTGACAGAAACAGACAACCCCACAGAGTGGTTCCTTCCTCAAATTCTCTCTCATATTGTTTCACAATTTCTATGGGGCAACAGAAATCACACTCTTTGGAACCATGTGGTAAGAATGAGGAAACTGTTAAGTATGTTTTAAGAACGCTATCAAGTTGTTTGTGTTTTGAGAGAAAGGGGATGGATGATTGTCACTGACAACGATCATCTAAACCTTATAACAGAATAATGATTAAAACATTTTTGCAGGGCTTGTCCCAGCTCCTTTAACTAAGTGGGGCCAGCTTACATGACAATTTAAGCGTGCTTGGCCCACCCAGATGCTCCTGTAGGAGAGGGCCTGAAACTGAGTGCCATAGTTCATCGTAAAATGGTATTCATTTACTTTGCAGCTGTCTGTTGCTGCTTATATTGTCCCCATTTTATTACTTTGTACTGATTCAAGTGAAACTGCCTCCAAGGTTCATAATCCGGGATACATTGCCAATGTGAATATGCAGTTGATTTCAACAGGCCTCCTGTGATGAAAGCTTTCCGCGGTTCATATCCAGAGATCTTCCTGCTTTTTTCCCATGCATAATTTTATTATAGGTAGGTGT